AGCACTTCTAATCTCTAATATGAGTCTGAATAAAAGTTAAATGGAACTAGAGTGACAGTAATGCCTGTGCTTTGTGTAAATGTAGCTGGCTGTGTTAGTATATGTACTAAAGGTAAATGCATCAGTCTTGTGCTATGAGTTTGAATACTGGATTGCACTGGAGAGCCACTTATGGTATGCACGGTCACGTCGGGGCTTGTTTCTAAAAATATGTACTCATCGTTCTTACAGCAGACGTTTGTATCTATAAAAACAACTTATTGCTTTATTAATATTTTCAGTTATACTGCTACAGCTGGGATAGACTTCAGGCCCCCCATGACCCTGACATGGATAAGTGGAAGAGAATGGATGGATGGATGTTACAGTGATCTCTGCTGTTAGGGCCAACATAGCCAGCATTTTGCATAATGATGTCTGTGTATGTATATGTATTCCCTGTGAGACCAAAGTTTAGGCCTAAAATGTCTGAAAATGCTTGTCTGCAGACAGTTTTTTTCTGTTGTTGGCTTTGAATGATGTCATAGAGAGGGGTATCCTTACATGGCTATGTCAGTCATATAGCGCTTAATATGACCACAGAAGTTCCACCCATCTTCTTAAAACCTGCTGTTTGTTAAAGACAGCCAATTAGAGGAAGGTTTGCTCAAACGGAGAGGAGCTAAAAGAACTTGTGTCAGACACAAGTTGAATTGAGGGGCTCCACCAAGTCCCACTAATGGATAAATGTGGATTATTTTAAACTGTAAATCATGCAAAACTGCTCTAGTAGAGACTAGTTCCACATAAATAAGTTTCTTGAAACACTAGAGGGCTTCTGTTTAGAAAATGAATGTTAGTGACTTTCTGAGAAAGTGCAACACGTTGGTGTAAAGATAAGTTATCAATACCAGTTTCGGTTAGCATTAGTAGAGGCCAATCAGTTGAAGAACTACTGGAAAAAGATGAAAGAACATTTTCATATCTTTTGACTTCTTTACTTGTTAAGGCAAGACGTTTTAAAATGAATTCACCGTTGCCACTGAAAAGGAAGTAGCAGCTGCCGGCAACCTTTATTGACATTAACCTCCTTGCCCCAAGGAAAAATTGATGTTTGCTCGGTGAACTTGAACTCTTTTGCTGTCTGAGGCAAATTAGTTAACAAGTGTTCAATAACAAGGTGATTGCCCCGGTTGCCTGTTGGGAGCCAGGCTGCTTCCAAACAATGGAGACCTGACTTAGTGCAGTCACTCACAAACAGATCACAACACAGTGCGATTAACTGGAGTGAGTCTGTGCTGATGAGTGCGACTGGTCTGCGATGTCTTACAATAGGGCACTTGACTAAATTGGTTCTTGAGTGGTTGTATTATGGTTATATTTCTTTGTGTTTCTTTAAGTGCTTAAACTCCTGTAGTTAATTTGCCATCCTGCAGTGACTACATCACTATTTATAGAGGAATTTTAGTTTCAGATCCAGGTTTTACCGAGTATCTGAATATATCTAAAGGATTTAATATGAGTTGAATATGAATGATTTCATTGTACACAGCAACAAATTTGATATTTTCGCCCTGTTGTTAGAGTTAATTGACAGATTATTGCAAACATGAAATTACCAATTTGACCCCATACAGTCACAAACTGTAGACTGTCTCCTTGTTATTGCCATTTCATTGTGCCATCCAACCATCCAAATTGTTGCAGTTCTAGTTCCTGTACCTTTCAAAGGCAACACAATTGCAAGTTCATTGCACGTGATGTTTTCTTTGATATTACCTAATGAATGTAGAATATCCAAGTTTTTACTTTATTTCATTTCTTTTTACTAGCTCTGCTGCACATGCTGGGCTTTGGTTATTTTTACAGGAGCTAGCCTTAAACAAAAATTCTATTTGATTACTTTAACAAAAAAAAAAAGTAGGTTTAGGTTGTGCTACATAATTAAATGAGCTGGATCAGTTATACCTTACACAAATTGAACCTGTGCATATTAATATGCTCACTTGTCAGGAAACTGGCCTTTATATAAATTTAGCTTATATTAATCTGATATGTCTTTATTTTCAGATTACTATTGGTTTCCTGTTTCTGTGAGATAAGAAATTCATTATTTTTGATTTAATCTGCTCTTCAAGACAAATGCTAGGATATTGCCTAGCTTCACTGTCTTAGATTGGTAATTAATTCAGATGGTATCAGCTTCACCAACTGTTGGCTTATTATAATTTGGCAGAGGATGTTTGACAAAAACCCTGTGCTTAAATTAAAGTAACATTTCTGGTCCAGATCTGAAGGGCAGGGAAACCCTCTGCCAGTAAATGTGAGGATAGTTTAACTTCAGACTTGACTTCAGAAAAAGAAATAAATCTCCCCAACTGTCAGTTTGGCAAGAAACAAAATGTGGTTTAAATTACTCTCTTGCACACCACGAATGAGAAAATGTATTAAAAAAGACATTAATTTTCTGACTGCTGTAAATGAGCCTTGATTGGACTGAGTGTGACTTTGGTGACATTTAGCTCACTGAATTAATAATGCTGATCCCAGATAGCTTTTCAGTGTGGTGGTGCATGGGCCTGTTACACTGTGACTCCGAACATAAACACACCTAAGCCAAAGAAGTAACCCAGCAAAGTTTGTTCCATGGTGAAGTAATGCTTTATGAAATCCAAGTTAGACATGTGGGCCTTGTTGTCAAACAGTCTTTTTTAGAGATTAAACAGAGATAAAACACAGTTTTAAAAACAACAACAACAACAACAACTTCCTTGAGAATATGTGTGAATGCTACAGCAGAAGTAGAAGAGCTTGTATGAATTTGTGAGTGAGATTGTATAGAGGGCTTTGAGTGCTCAAGTACAGCTAAAAAAGTGCTTAACAAGAACCAGTTCATTTACCATTACCATACAACTGTGCAGACAGAGGTTGGTTAAACAATGACATTATTGCAGATTGTATTAGTTTGAAGTTGTATTTAATATTATGACATGTTAAATGATAAATAGAGAAAGTAAAGCTCCTTACATGCCATCTGAAGCATAGTATATCCATCTTAAGGTGTCAGAAACTGTTTAATCGAAATAGAAGTGGTTAAAAAATGTCCTACTTCAGCTAAAGCACTGACCTCCTTCTGGGATTCTTTGGAGTAAAGCTATCGATCAAGTAGTTCAAGTTCAACTCCTCAAACTCTTCAGATTTAGTGGCTATAAGTGACCGGCTGTGAGTGCGCCTCCTTGTTATCTTTAGAAACTAACATCTTGAATATTAACACAAAGGACCGTTATCCTTGCAAAGCACTGACAGGAAGCAGCAGATAGTTTTCACTGTATATAAAGCTAGTTTGGGCTGCTTCCTTATTCACAGCAGGTAGCTCCACATGTTTGAGTTGCAGATTTTTATTTTTTCATGCCAGGTCTCCTTCCTGATTCGACCTTGAAGGGAATTGTCTCCTCCTGGGACCGAGCTGGGGATCTTACGCTCATTAGAGCCCAACATACATTAGGAATATTTAAATATGTAAACCGTAATTAACTATCGTTTAACTCCACAGGAGATGTCAGAGGGCGCCTCCAGTCTGCTAGCACCAATCATAGCACTGCTGCTCCACCGCTATGATTCGTCTTAATGCTGCAGACCTCGTGTGAACGTTACAAAACATACAGACATTCTTATAATCGTACTATATTGAAAAGAAACAAAAAAAGCAAACTCCACCCTCTTTCTTTGCTGCATTGTTTCGTCTGTTTATGACCACCTCAGAGTTCTCTATTAACCAAACTCGCATGGCCTTGCACAGTGTTAGAGGATCACAACATAGCTACAAGGACACACAACAGTTAACCGTCTTTAACCTGCAAGCTCCCCAGTGATGCTGAACTGTGCCCACGTGAGATAAATACTGGTGATTATCTAGTGAATTGATGGAGTGGGCGTGATGTATGCTGACTCCCTTATACTCTATTAAGGCAGCACCCGAAACCAAACTGAGTATTTCCAGCTTCTTGAGGGGACTATCTCCTGATTTTTGTCTACATGTTAAAATAGGGCATCTTAGGACAATTTCTTGACTTGATATCTCTGATATTGTGACTCACTCTCTGGAAGCTCATGTGTGATAACAACTGAGGGTTCAGACGTGCACTCACACACTGCAGCATCACTCACTTAAAGTGTTTTTATGGGCAGTAGCATTCACGGTGGCTTAAAGGATATCGTCCTATTAATAGAGTATTTCATAAATATTTAAAAAGTTGCTTAGGTATATTCTTTGTACTATTTCTCCCTGTCTTGCTGTTTAGCTGGTGTTGAAAGGCTCTGGGAAGGAGATGCTTTGAAAGGGGCTCAAATTTATGGAGGAGACCTTTGAACAAATTGTTTGTTTTTTCAGGGAATTATTATTTTTTGTGGAGGGCTGTTTATTTGGAAAAGGATTTTCCATTCTCTCACACTGGGGATGAATGCCTGGGCAGAGGAAAAATAAATAAAAATGTGTCAGTGTGTCCTATGATAACACGAAAATCTAAGGCCAAATCAGAAGTTTAGATTGCAAACCTTTAACTCTTTTATTTTGACACTGAGGTAACAGTGAGATTCACATATAGGTGTCTGTAATGTGATATCACCCTGTTTATCCTGTGGGTAAAGATAGCTTTAAGACTCTGGGTATGTGTTTGGTGTCTTTGTCTCATGCTGCGAAATGAGCGTTGGCCCAGTCAGATGGTCACTTAAAAAAAAAAAAAAAGAAAAAGAAAAAAAAAAAAATATCTGAAGGGGATAAAATCTTTGTGCCTGATGTGTGTTTGTGTGTGCATTTTCAAGGCTTTAAAGCACCCAGAGGGTGCATACTAGCAAAGCATGCGCATGAGTGATTGTGAAGTGCTCTCCAGCAACTCTCCATTACATCACTTAAAGGAAACAACCGGCTGCTTAATGTGTGTTTTCTCCCTTTAAAGGGATGCAGTGTGAATATTTGTACATAGCAGACCTTCAGCTGCTCTTCCGTCTTTCCTCTTCCTCAGGTTGTGCTAAGGCAGGAGGCGTGCGCTTCTCAGAGGAACCCCACGCTGCATCTTCACACGTTCATTTCGATGAAAAGCTACATGACTCCGTTGTCATGGTGACTCCAGAAGATGATGGCAACTTTTTGGTCAAGGTTAGTTTAACCTTGTAATAGTTTGACACTTAATAGTTACTGAAGATTAAAGAGATGTCTTTTAATGTAGCTCAGTTTGATTTTAATTTTTTTTTACCTTAACTGTTTTTATAACAAGTGCAGTCAAAAAGTTTCACAACTTGTTCCTTGAAAACCAAAAAAACCCCAAACAAAACCCACCACAGCTAAATTCCTGTCTTCTGCTTGTGAAGCACTGTGAGGCTTTAAGGACTTGACAGATTGTTTCCTTGACATCTTGTTCAGACCACCAGCTGAGCACAAACGTGAACTCATTCTTCAAACCAATTTGACTTTTATACTAAGGACGATCGCTAATGATGAGAGCCGAGTCTCTGTCCGACCGTGGTGCAGGTTTTAGTGGAAGAGCCTACATCAGGTCAGGAGTCAGAGAAGTGTGATTGTTGTTTATTTTTAAACATTCCTGGGTTGTGCCCTGAAATTTCTTCCTGCAGAAGTTGAGGTTTCTGCTCTAACATCCTGACATGTCACATTTGATCCAAATGACTTGAAATATGGCCATGATTTTAGCTCATCACTGTGCCCTATTGCCAAATTTGGCTCTCTGCAACCTTCTTTTTCCTAAGATGAATTTCAAGTTGCTGATTAGACACAGAGGAGAAGATACGTGAACATGGGAATGGACTTTAGAGTATATCCAGATGTAGATAAGAAGGTCAGAGTTGCACAAGGAGCTTTGAAGGCAATGACGGCTGAATTTAAATCAAGTAAAGTTTTTCTTTAGCGTTTTTATCGGTGCGGTTGTAGAACAGTTTTATCTCACTTCCTGTGTCCTGCTAAAGAGTCTGAAGACCACTCTCCTCTTATGTATTGTCTGTATTAGTTGCAGTCAGACCACAGTCTCGCCTTACAGGAAGTCTAATATAAGATGCTATTTCTGACTGTCAGACGGCAGTTGAGGTAATTCACTTTACTCTGTTTCTCATCAGTTCTATATCATTGAACCCACGAATGGTAGTAAGAAAGATAGCCTTTACTCATTTATAATAATGCTTTCAAAAAAGTTAATAGTACTTCAGTATATATAAAACAGTAGGTGATTAACATGCAAATGTGCAAACATGTGGATAAAATCATATTATTATCACTGTGCACTGAACAGTCTTATGGCAGCTGATATAAAGGACCTCCTGAGGTGATCAGATGTGCACTTTGGTGCAGTCAGTCTTTGACTGAAGGTGCTGCTGTTGATAACCTTCAGGCCACAGAGTGGGTGTGCAGGGTTGATCATAGCTGATTTCAGCTTCAAGTGCATTCTTCTCTCTACTGCCTGCTGAGCTTTTTCAAGTTCAGACCCGACTGCTGGGCCGTTCCTCTATAGGTTTGTCTACTGTTCCTCTCTGCTGTGCGGACAGCTTCTCCTCAGCAGGCCCCAACAAAAAGCACTGGCCACCACCATATGGTAGACACACTGCACACCAAGGGATGGCAGATGTTCAGTGACCTTAGCCTCTGTAGAAAATAAAGTCACCTTTGTCCTTTACTGCATACCGCCTCTGTATGGCTCTTCCATATCTGTGGTTGACCACCACTTCCACTTAATTGCTTCAGATTGTTGTTAGTGTTGAAGGAGGATTAATATGAATAAAATTCTCTAGGGATTCATAATAAAAGTCAGTAATTATCAAAATCTTCATGCAGGACAATTATTGACTGACCTCTGGCTGCTACATGTATTATATAAATGGAAGAAAAAATGTCTTACGTTGTCTCACCTTCAATGTAAGTGCCATGCTGTTGTTGTTTGGTGCTATAGATGACAGTACTGAGCGCTAAAATAATGAATAAAACCCCTTCTGTTCATCTGGACGTCGAGAGGGAGAAACATTTCATCTCTCATCTAAGTGACTTCTTCAGTCTTCGGGATGATTGAGACTGTTTTCAGTTTTCACATGACACATTAGATCGATCAATCTATCTTATCAGTCTACAAAATAAAAAGCAGTGTGATTAGTGTAGACACAAAACAATGTCTAAGTTGTGTGAATATTTTAGTTAGAGGATGTTACTAGACGTGGATATGGAGAGCTAATAAGAGGACGTGTTAGATTAGGTGGCATTAAAAAATAAATAAAATAAAGCTTTTGTAACAAGTAGAGTCAAAAATTACATCAACATGCTATGAAAAGTCAGTACTTATTTTATTTTGTAGTTTTTTTCCTGATGTAATTCTCAAATTTTAGTATTTGTAAATGTTTAAGTAATAGGGGTAGGCTAGAGTCTCAAAAAGATATCGCCATATTTCAACAGAAATTTGTGATCGTGATAATTTGATGATATACAAACAAAATACTGAACCAAGTTTCATCAGCGATTGCAGCTCACAGGCAGTTTCTTTTTGATCATATTTTTCCATTTTGCTCCTAGGTTTTCATTTTCCCTTTTAAGAGTACTGGTGGTTTGAGGGACACTAAAAGCACACGTGTTACTTCTTTCTTTTATGCTGTGCAATTATTTGACAAGGGGAAATTATCAAGAGCAATAAAGATGTTAAACCTCCGTCTGTGAAGGATAGGAAGACTGAAGACTATTTTTAGTCTGGTGATTATGTGTGTTTTGTTTATATGTCTGTCTGTTATGAATTAATGTAGTCATGAGGTGCTTCGCTGATGACGCGTTGGAAATGTTCGGAGGCACTTACTTAAAATGATCACCCTAAGCTCAGCTGTCTGGCAGCATCACACGCTCTGGATAAGAAACACTCTGCACCAGTTTGCTTCCAGCCTGTTATTCAGTTTGCGTCATGCGTGTCACGTACACCAGAGAACCAAATTCAATTCCACTTTTATTGTCATGGGGTGCAGGTGTAGTTTCAGAGTGGATGTCAACAAAGGCTGTAAAAAGGTTGATTAAAGGTTTGCCAATACAAGATCTTACTTCTCTGGCACATGTCTTTCTAACAAGAAGCCTCCAACCGGCTACATTTATAAAAGGAGTGATTAAAAATATTTTTAAGTTTTGTTTTCTTTTTCAAAAAACAAATCTACTTTTCACAGATTATATCTCTTGTGGCGTATTAGCTTAAAAATTCAGAAATAGTACATAAGGGCTTAATTTCTTTGGATGGCATGTTTTCAAGTGGCAGATATAACAGAGAGAGGTAGGTCTTTGATCTGGTGTACCCGTCCCCTCGCTTTCTGTCAGAATTGATAGGTAGTATCTGTGAAACATCGAGTCCAAGATTAAAGTCTTTTCATTCCTGCTAATCTTCTCTGTCAGCTTTAAAGTTTAGAGAACAATGATATCGGACAGCGCATCTTTCTGCTCTCGGCTCTTAAACCCTGGAGGAACCAACAACAAAGGAAGGTGCCTAAGGCCCAACATTGTTGTAATATTAATGATAAATCACCCTGTGACACTTGTCACAGGGTGATTTATCATACAGGCTTGATCTTTAGATGATAGTAATGATAATGAACCATGTTGCTAACTGCACAATTTATTTATTTTTTACTTTCTTTTTACAGTTCTTTACAGCTGCTTTGTTATAGAGGTGGTTGTTCATCAACTTTTATTCATTTCATTGTTTTTTTTCTTTATTTTTCTTTTCAACATTATTATCTGTGAATGTAACGTGTGGGATATCTGTCAGTAGAGATGCATTGCTAGATTCGAATTCATAATGTTGTTACTATGTTCAGTTGTTTTGACATATTGCACCGTTTTAGACCCAAACTGAAGTGTCTCAACAACTTATTTTTGAATAGCAGTAACATCTTTTAAAAATACTTCCCAGAAATTTTTTTGCTTTTCCTCTGCCAACGTCATGAATTTGAGGAATGTGTTTATAACTGTCTGATGGATTGCCATGAATCTTTGAAGATTACAAATCCCACAGCTTTTTACTGCTCAGCTGTAAAAAGTCGAGTGGGGTGTTATCGTCGTGAACAGTATAACTTGAGAACGATGGGAGATAGGATATTCAAATTGATCTACTAAAAATATTGGAGAGCTTTCAATGGCAATCCATCCGATGTTCATTCATCGTAAACATCAGGTTCATCATGCCACTAAAGCAAAATTGATCACTGAAGTTGGCTCCAGAAACTCGTGTTTGAGTCAAGCGTTGTTTCATTTACATAAATGTGCTCATGGTTAACTGGTGAAGGCTGAAATATGAGTTGCAGTGATACTCTTTTTACTAGAAAAGATTTTCTCTTCAATAAACCTTGCTGGTAACCTCTGTGTGTTGTAGTTCTATTATGGTGGAAAGTGAGTAATTCATTCTCTGTTGTCACCAGCATGTTGCTGCAGTCACTCTGTTGATGGGGGAGTGTGGGGTTAAGTTACTATAATAAGCCAGAAAGCCCAAGTTTCAGTGTAACAAGCACCTCAAACTTGTGGACGAGTATTTAAAGATCACCTTTGACCTAAGGTCAGGGGTGATCTTTAAATTCAAAGTGACTTATAAGGCGTACTATGTATGTAGTTGGTCTTTAGTCACATAAATGAAACGCGATTAGGCAGAAGAGTGATGTCCATCTGGGACACTGTAATCAAGATTGTAGGGCAATTTGGCGGCTTCCACAAACAAGTGCCCTCCCCAATGTCATTTTAATGGATTAATTTTTAAGTCTATGAGAATGTTTGTTCACTAATCAATGTATCTTTGTTATTACAACATTCTTTTTTCTTTGGTAAATAAGTTTAAAATAACATAAACAGCAACTTGAAATAACATCTCACTTTGAAGTAGTGTCACAGATTTGTTGTTGTTTATCTCTTTTTCTCATGTTGTTGGTGTTTTTTTTAACGGTGCCTTTAAAGTCTTCCGAGTGTAACTTTCCAGATTCATAACTGCAAACTTCAGTATGAAGATTCTTGTTTCGGGCTAAGTGTCTGTGGTCAACTCTGAAACAAAGAGGTGGATGCAGCGAGAAAGCGCTGCATAAATTTGATTCTTATTTTCTTGGTGTTAGGGCAGGTTCATAAAATTTGCATACCAGACATGTGTCCCAAAA